TAACTTGCCTTATTTGGTTTCACTGTGCAGGTGTACAGAATCTCACTGGTGGCTTCAATGCTCAGTAGTGACTTAAGTGATTCTTCATAGGAACAAATGTAATAGTAGCACAGGTGTCTAAGTGGACATTACCTTCTTATATCCTCAACTCCTCCTCTTCACTTAATCTTTGGATCTGCTGGTCCTAATATGCTGACTAGGTTTTTGGGTATGCAATCTGTTGTGAAAACAAGATTTACGTACTTAGCTGCGTTAATAGGGTGTGTAGCCATTTGATTTAATTTTAATAAGAAAATGGCACACAACTGAACAGAGAAGTGGTATTTTACGGATGAGCATAAAAAGCTTTGCAACTAACCATGGGTATACAATTAAGATTAAATTTAAAAGGTATTTATGCTCTTTTGCAGACTTCTGGAAAACAAGTCTTTGCTGCTGTTTTAATATTACATTTACATTCTTTCAGCTTGATTTACTTTTCTTTTATTCACTTTTCTCTTAATAGTGGAGATGGGAAACTTCCTGTATGTGTTGCAACAGGAGACCCTATCATGGAGTATCGATTCTGGATGTGCAATGTGTGTAAGCATTGTGTGAAAGCCAAAGAAATAAGCAATTATAACTTCTGTCCTCTGTGCCACAGTTCTGTAGCATAATAGGGAATAAAGGATTGCTTATCCTTATATCTGTTATGTCTCATTTAAAAAAAAAAAACTCAAAAATGTTACTGTTATACTATTTTAAAATGCAGTTTAGGTACGATACTGTCACAGATAATGTTACTACTATTAGGGAAACATTTCAAAAAAAGAAATGAGAAACTTGAATGGATCCATGTATGTTAAGAAACAGCTATGACTCAATTTTGACTCAATTTCTACAGTGGTTTAAGGTAACAGCATTTTTTTTTTAATTGTAAATTGAGCCTAGTTTCAAAACCATGCACATTGGGTGTAGGTTTATCTTAGTATGTTTTACTCTGTGAATTTTGAGGAAAACCAGTAATTTGCCATGAAATTATAAAAATGAAAAATGGAGCAAGTGCAGTTTCCTGAAGGAAGTAATTCTTGATTTGAAATGATGCACAGTAGTCGTAGTATTATTGTATACATTTTCTACTACTTGTTTTACTAGAATGATGGTGCTACTTTAGTCCTACTTGACGCTTAAGTTATTTTCTTTTGCCAAATGTATTTAAAGCCACAGCACTAACAAAGGAGTTGCAAACATTTAGAAATCAATGCCTTCGGTAAGCACTTGGTTTCTTAAACTTTTTTTCCTGTGGCGATTTGTTTAATCAGCTAAGGAAACCAATATGAACCTTCAAACTGGAAGCTGTTAATGGGCTACTTTTTTTTACAGATGAGTAGCTTGAAGCGAGGAGCTCACATCTGCTAAGCAGATCTCAACAGCTTTAACCGTCACTCTTGTTTTACATGAAGATTGAAAGTACACGGAGTCTTGTTTAGAAGTGAGCTCTTCTATTTTATTGCTAGATTTTATCCACTGCTTTGATGGTACAGCATGGAGATGTTGCAGGTCACTTACCCATGCTGTGAGTTTTCTCCACAGAGTTAGCACTTAGCAGACTGGTAACATTCACAAGCATTAAAATTCACTTTGTATGGTATTATTTCTTTGAGGAAAAGATTGTGAGGAGTCTCGTTTCTCCGAGAATTTCTTTTGGAGCAAATAATACATGTCTTTCAATTAAATACTCTTTTTTTAAAGAAGTTTATATGTAAAAATATGTTATTAAATATTTTTCTATTCAAGTATATGAGCTTTTTTTTCTTGGTTAAAATTTAAGTTCGAAGGATGTACCAGGTGTGTCACATAAAGTAGCTCGAGCTGTTGACCTGACGTCCTGCAGTTCTAGTACAGCCGTAGCTCAGCTGAAAGGCGTGTTTTAACGAGGGCCATAGTATTTATACATTTTGATCAAAGATGTTATCTGAATGCGTACGGAAAACACTTTGGTTTCGTCAGGGCCCTGTAGTTTGTACAGGGTCTACTCTGGCCCAGACCCGAGGTACGCCCTCTCCCTCGGCTTTCTCTGTGCCCTGAGCGCTTACACGCGAGGCGCGTGTCCCTCTCGGTGTTCAGGTAACAGGGCAGGGGTTTCCCTGCCCGTTCCTTCCGTCTAGGCTCAGCTGGCATCAAAGG